AGTGTGTCACTACCACTCGCAGAAAAGTATTTTTTGGAGTCCAGCTAAGGAGGCTTCTCAGCGTCGTACTAATTACCCGGCGGCCATATTTGTCTCGGATTGAATGCCTTAGAGCTTTCTCTCTCTATCTCTCTCTATCTCGAGGTGGTGGTTGGAGTTTTGATTGATTGGAAGCTTGGCTGTGTGTGAATGGCGTGTGGAACTGTAGATGATACTAATTCCCAATAAACTCCTTCCCTTCTTAATGGAGATATAAGGAGAGAGAGAGTTTAAGTGAGAGAAAGGAGGAAGGAATGTAGATAGCCACAGGGAGAGAGAGAGAGAGAGAGAGAGAGAGAGAGAGAGAGAGGTTTACTGCTTTTCTTTTATGACTTCTGCATCACTATCATTTAGAACGATGATTGCACTGTGTGGGATCAGAAGTTGTTCCCTGCGTTATTTCTCTTCCTCTCTCTTCCTAATTTCTATATCTTAATCAGAAAGGAGGAGAAGGAATGAAGAAAACGAAGCGGAATAGGAGGGGGAGCAGACTAATTGATATTAGACAGTGAAATTGATTTAAATATTTTTAGAAATTAAAATTGATTGATGGCTCAGATCTGATCGGGCAAAATATTATAAATTTATTTAAGAACCAAAAGTTCAATGCGAATTGAATTTGAATTGAGCTATTGTTGAATTCAGTTGTATAAATATTAAATTAAATATCAATATTTCTTTATATTTATGAAAAGAATTTGATGAGCAAATCAGTCAAGTTTGAGCCCTTCTCGACTCTTCTCATTATAAAAAAGTCAGCTCTAATTCTTAGAATTAAACTCGAGCTCAACCCAACTCACTTGCATCAATCTGTATAAAAATATTATTTTATAAGTGCCCAATTGTGCGCCTAATATTTTTATTAAAGAAAAAAAATAATAAAAAACTATATAATATTTTTTTTTTTTAAATTATATGAGTTTTTCTTTTTTCTTAACCAGGTTGTCATCCCCGAAAGGGCGTTTGGTGACGTGACTAATCCTCGGCTGACCTAGAAGAGATACCCACCCTATAAATCTCATAGCCCGCACTAGATTGCACCACACTTAAGGAACTTTTATTACGTCCTCTGACCGGACGTAGCTCTACGTTCGGTCAGAGGATTGTTACTCGGTTTTTGCTCGGTATTTGGTCGGTATTGCTAGGTATTGTTTGATAATAATGAGGAATACCGTTCTGTGAAGATCAATACCGAGTTATACCGAGCAATACCGAGTAATCCCAAAAAATACAGAGTTTTTCTAGAAAAAACTCGGTATTTTTTGGATTACTTGGTATTTCTCGGTATAACTCGGTATTTTGTCTTCACATAATGTTATTTCTCGTTATTGTTGGTATTGCTCGGTATTTCTCATTTTGTGCCCGCGATCTTAGTGCCGGCCGAACGTAGCTCTACGTACGTTCACCGGACCAAATAAAAGTTCCCACTTAAGAGACGATATCGCCCGAGAGAAATCGAGCACGGGTTGAAGGGTTCCAAACCGTACTCGCCCACCAATCAAGCTAAATATTAATTGATTATATGAGTTTTTATAAAAAAAACATATAATATGAAATCAAATAATATCAAATTAAACTACCATTTCAGACTTAAATTACAGCTCAAAAATCAAATTGGATAACTTTTGAACCGATTTAAGTCCGAATCATAATAAATAACGGCCTCAATTACAAAGCAGCAAAGTAACAAAGCTCTTTTGTTCACTGCATGGGCTTTACCACTTTTGTATCATGCATTAAATTGATCTCTTCTTAGGGTTTGGAAACCAAGAATTTGTCACATGGACTTGTCCCTTATAGGTTTATTATAGGGCACCAGTCGATCGGGCTTTTGAAATCCAACGGTGGAGATCTGCCCCCTTCCCTAATTTACCTCGCTGTAGCTGAATCGATCGTATGTGTAGCTTGGTACATTAGACATTTATATTATTAATATTAATGTGGGGGGTCTTAGAGAAAAAAAAAATGTTATATATAATTGTCGTGTCAACAAGTACTGAAGTGAGAAAAGAGAGTCTTAAGCGGGCTTTGGGCCGCGTAGGACGCTGTAGGGTAGTAGGGGAGGGTCCTAAAGGATGGTGGGCCCGTGGGAGTGTCGTTATAGACCGAACCGGTGGGTCTATATCCTAACGGTCGTAGCGGTTCCGAAAACGAAACGTTTCGGTCTCCTGCCGATATTGTCAAACCGGTATAACACTTTTTTTTGTGTCATGCGTCTTCTTTATCGTTATCTTTTAATATGCTTATGAGAGGGCATCTTAAATTAAAATCAAACGTTGTAGTTTGCCAGTTACTTTTACATTATAAATAATAAGTAAAATAAAATAATTTAATGCATGATTGGATCATTTTGAGTGGAGCATTTTGATAAATTTAGTCAAAATCCTAAACACTATCATATAGACTTATTTATTTCTTTAAAAAATTCTTGGGCCTAATTCAAGAAGCTTGAATTAGAGTACAAAATTCATCAACAAAATAATATAGACATTAACAAAATTACTAATGAAAAACTTATTAAAAAACATTTATTTTATCAATCTAAGCATCATGATGTAGCTTAAAGCAGAAGCATATGAATGATTAAAAATACTAGGAATAATTTTTTTGTGGTGAACTTAAATCTTTGAACCTATCAAAGGATATTATTTTTGGAGATTAAGGTTTCGTTTGGGATGTCTTTCTTGTTGCTTCTTGAAGCAACTTTTTTAGTTCAATAGTTAAAGTTTTGTACAAGAAAGCCGTCCCAAACGAAGCTTTAGTGAGATGCAATGTACCAAAATTTTTGCTAAAGATAACAACGAGAAGGATCAGAACAAAAACCACTTGTAAATGGAGCTCCAATCCTCCAATAGAAATATTAGATAAAGATTGGGGGGATGCGCGCGCATGCCCAGCCTTGCCTAAATCGCATAATAAAACTAAAATAAAATGATTTATGCAATTTGTATATGAGCACTACCACCAAACATGGAAATAATTTCAAAATTTCCAAATAATAGTTCAATCATGACAATCAAAATACTTGACTCAGAATGAACTTGAGTCGACTCATATCTTGAAATTGGACTAAAAAAAAGCCCAATCCAAACTTTTTTTTTTGATTGGGTCAGGACAAGTTAACGGGCCCCAGGCCCATTGCTAAGTCTGTTCAACAGTTCGTATCTGCGTTGAGCAAAATTTATGATTGAGAGAACCTTAAACATATGACAAATAACCTTATAGAAAGATTTCCAATCATTTAGGTAACAATGTTATTCAGTTTGTAATATATCCTTTAGTATTGATGAATATTCATCCTAAAACCAAAATAGATGTGTTCCACATCCATCTAAGCAATAATGAAATTTTTATAACTATCAATATATTAAATTAATTTAAATATAATAAATATAGATCTTATTTTGATCAATTTTTAATCATAATAAGTTTATACAAATTTTTACCTTATTGAATCTAATTAGGGAGCTAGAATAATTTGTATTAATACGGGCCCATGCCATAGCTAATTACTACTAATTCACCTCATTTCTCCTTAAATGAACTAGATTTAGGCTTTGTTTGGAACGACTTTCTTTCACCTTCTTAAAGCAGCTTTAAAATACAAAAAATTTAATTTTTGTACTAAAAACTCCCTTTAGAAGTAATAAAAAAACCGTCCCAAACTAAGCCTTAATTAAATGTTAGTTTGATGCCATTAATTTTTTTTATAAAAAGTAATGGGAGAATATCACCTTTTTTATGATTATATATGTTGCGTCCTGGAATATTCGCGGCGGTAGAGATGGTGCTCCCAAAATTAATTTTTGAAGTTTCCAACTAGCTTTTGCCTCGAGATTCGTGCTCGATCAAGATAATTTTTGTGATGCCGTATCAATATATATATATATTACATCTATCACATAATTATATATTTTAATATAAAAAGTGGATTCCCATCATAATTTTTTTTTTAAATAGTAATCAAATAAAAATATAATGATGATATGAAAAATAAAATAGTAAGAATATTGCCCCAAATATATCCTAAATTATAGTGACTAAAAAATAGCAGTTATGTACCGAAACTATCTCAGCCATTTTTGTCAAAAGGAAAGGAGGCCCACAATAGAAGCTCTCATTTTACCATGCTTATTATTGTTCCCTTAACTGTTTTCATACCACAATTAATAAACTGAGAAGAAAATAGTTCAAATATGATATGGCTAATAAAAATAATTTAATCATACAAAATTTTTGATACAATTTTTCAGATCTTAAAGATCAATTACTTAGCTCAACATTTCTTGAATCGATGATAAACTAGCCATGGCTAACTGAGATTAAATAAAGTTAGGTTTTATTTAGAACAACTTTCTTGTTACTTCTTAAAACAACTTTTTAGTAGAAAGCTGATTTAAGAAATAGTGAGAAAGCCATTCCAAACGAAGCCTTAGTTAGCCACCTCCTTTTAAAGTTAGCTGGCAAGCCTTTAACCCACTATGTCGAATCAGCTACAAGAATCATTTTTTTCAATGTGTCCTATTACGAATCAAATTCTCGAAATAGGAAGCAATAGTGACATAGCAAAGTCGGAGGAGGGGAGGGAGAGAGGAAATAGCAATAGTGATATTTATAAAATGGTCCCAATAACCATATTCATCGAGTAAAAAGGCTGACATAAGCAAGGCTTACCAGTTATGCATCAATTCAATCATGAGAATCGTAGGCAACAAAAACGAAGAAACTTTTTACAATGCAATTTTGACTTCATTTGGGATAACTTTCTTACTGCTTCTTAAAGCAAATTTTTTGATAAAAAGTTTCTACAAAGCAACTTTAAGAACTAATAAGAAAAGCTGTCCCAAACGAAACCTTTGCCCCTAGAAGGAGCATGTTCTCGGATTATTTAATGATACACGAATAAAAGAAATATTGATGAGAAGTTGACAATAGGAGGAATAAAAAATAGAAAGCCGTACTTTGTATCAATTATACCATATATTTGACAGCTGAAATGGCAACAATTATCTCATAACCGTTGAATTCATACAGAACACAATTGAGAACCAAAATTGAGATGGCAAATCATATCAAACTAATTAATTTCTACATGGACAACAAACAAGGACTAGTAAAGGACAAATCTTAACCAAATTTCAGTTCCTCCAAACAAATATGAAAGATCACAACCCTGAAATGAAAGCAAACACGAGGAGATAAACTGTACATGCTAGGCAGCAGACTGAATACTGAACCATGTATTGAAGGTTACTAGATTACAACTGTTGATCAAGACATGGATCCCTGTAAGACTTCTCTCCGGCTCCAATATATTCTGCAACAGTCCCAGAAACTCCAGTAACAAAATTGCTTAGCCAAGAGGTGCTACGACTCAGCCAACCAGTCTGTTCTTGGGGGTTTTCTATCATCTGGCTCTTCCTCTCTTCCTCTAATAGTATTTCGAGCCATCTCTTAGACATGTAGAGCTTGACAGCTTCTACTCCTTGGTTCGCTATCTCCATTGGTGGAATGACTAATGGGTTCTGGTCCAAGTTAAGTTTGGACAGCTTATCGAGGCGGCCAAATGAATCGGGCAGAGCATGAATTTGATTGTTGCTGATATCAAGTTCCATGAGATTAATAAGATCACCAAATGTGGGTGGGAGTTCCTTCAGGTCACTGAAGTTGCTGCTCAAGTCAAGAATTTCGAGATTTATCAACTTTCCTATAGCGTAGGGCAGTCCATGGAGCTCATTGAAGTGTGCGTCCAGAAGGCGCAAAGACCTCATCTCACAAATAGATGTAGGGAGAGAACGGAGCTTATTAAGAGAAATCCATAGCTTCTGCAGATTTACTAGTTCATAGCCAATGTTTGTTGGCAAATAGGCAAGCTCGTTGTAGCTTGCATTCAGCTCAACAAGAGATCTACATCAAGATGTGATTGCTGTCCTCAAACCGTCTCTTTGAAAAAAAAAAAAATTTAACGAAAGAGTATTATAGTAAGAGGCAGCAATATACCTGCAATGTGAGATGCTATCAGGAAAAGCCTTCAACTTATTATTGGACACATCGAGAATCTTCAGATTAAGCAGCAGCCCAATGGAATCAGGCAATGACACCAAAAGATTGGAGGAAAGATGAAGCCCCTGTAATTGTTCCAGCCCTGCTATTGCATCTGGTATGGCCTGCGTACAAAATCAACATCAGAATGAAACTAGCAGAATGGCAATGTGACGTGTACACCATCTATGTAACATGGGTGGCTGTTTAGTTAGGGAATGTGAAATGCTGGGATTTTGGTTCTCAGAAATATGGAAGAAGATAAGTATAACACTTCAAGAAAAAAATGAATTCCCAATCATAAAGCTATTCTACTCTTTTGCACTTTGAAGTGAGTTTCCACTCGTCCGTCTAGCCTTCACTAGGATGGCATAAGTGACGAAGGTATGGAGGAGGAAAGAAACAAGCACATTCAGTAAGTTCGGAAGATCAAGGAGAACTTGTTAAGTATGATATTTGATGTGTTAAAAGGGAATTTTAAAACCAATAAGTGGATGACGGGAATTCATATGATTTTTATAGGCACGTTTGTATAATACATCTGCCCACTTTTGCATGTAAAAAAAGGTCAATACATTACAAGAAACTATCATATTATACTAAAATATTTTTGAAAGAAACAACACCTTAATTTTATGTTCATTTGTTAAAAACCGATGACAAATTTAAAGAAAGTTTAGAAAGTTTCGTTGACTTAGTTTAACTATAAACAGAAGTTTATAATACTTTCGCTATATAGATGTAATTTTATTGGTAACCACTTTTTGCATTGATTATCAGGTTGAATTATTGGAAATCATCGACCTTGTATGCTAAATCCATTGCAGCTTAGTTTGAATCTACAAATACCAAAGTGATTTGTAGTCCAAATGTATTATAGTCTCCTTTCCTAGATGGTAAGCACACCAATATTTAACTGCTTGATGCAGTGCCGATAGTTTCTTGTCATGTGAGGCTAGTTCTTGTGAGCACCTCGAAAAATCTCGAAGTGGCATATAACCAGTCTTTTATCCTATATAAATACCATACCCATTGCATATCCACTGGCATCTATTTCCAGCTTAAGCAGTTTCTGCAAATTCGGGAAGGCTAGTACAAGTGCCTTGCTTATCATCTTATTAATCAAGAGAAATTTATCATATTGCTTTTGGTTCCATTTAAACTTGACATTGGCCTTGGTCGAAACATACAAATGACAGACAATCACTAAAACATGCCAAACCAATTACTTATAATCATTCTTGCATGCTCCTATGAAAGTCTTAAATTAGTCATTATCCATGGTCTAAGCCACTTTTTGATTGCTTTGGCATCTGTTATATCAATTTGGATTTTTCCATTAACCACATTAAATCCAAGATGCAGTAGATATTTTTGGCAAATTTACACTTCTTTTAGTTGAGACGGAAATAATGTTGTTGTAGTAGCTAAAATACCTTCCTCGAATGCTCTATGCAGTTTTCCTACAACCTATTGAAGGCTTAAATATCATAAAAAAAAGAAGAAGATAATGAGCACATACAATTATGATCGCAAAGCATCAATCACCATCCTCATGAATTTAGTAGGGACATGACAGAGCTCAAATGGCAAACACTAGCAGAACTACCATCTTATCTTGAAAGTAATCCCCCATGTGTCAATCTCATTATTGCTTACCTAGTGATAACCAATCTCATTAATGCTTACCTATGTTGCACCGATATACATATTTATAAAGGCGTGTTGTATCAAATACATGTCAGATACGGCAAAGCCGTATCCAATTAAAATACTATTTAATTTCAAAAGGACACGCACATCGGATACGTACGGCAAGCGAGGCTCTCTCACTTTTGAACCCGCAGGACGAGAGGCGTTAGGGCTCCTTTGTTTCGTCTTCATCATTTACGTCAAAGGAGCAGGATAGGAGAAGCGGCCAACGTCGAGCAGGCCAGGCAACCGAGGGCTTCTTTGTCGATCACGCGAGACAAGCGAACATCCGTTTCCATCATCGAGATCGAGGACGTATGCGAGACGAGCAAGACCGATGGCTTCTTTTCCATCGTTGAGACGGAGGGATTCTTATGCGAGACCGAGGGCTTCGTTTCACACAAAAGGGTTGGTTCTTCCGTTGTCTTCTAATCTTTCTCAAGTAATCTTTACAATTTAGATTTTTTTTAAATGGGCTTCCAAATGAATGGATTTATTCTTATTAATTATCATTATCACTTTTTGTATCCTAATTGTTTGCATTTATTTACCTTATCAAATCCTTCAAATAAATCTTATGACACAAAAGGTGATAACATACAATTGTTCTGATTAGTCTAAAAGAACATTTGTTCCACCTATCGAAGGTTAATGTCTTCCTATCTGTAATTTTGCCTCTTTCTTGTTTTGGATATCAAAATTTCTCTCTATTTTTTAGCATTCATCCAATAGACAACAAGTCAATTTATGGAGACTTCTTTTAGATCGACGAAAACAACAATCTGTATTATTTTTCTTTGTATATTTCTATTTTGAACTAGTAGAGACACATGGTAGTAGGGGTAGATGGAATGTTCATAGCTGCATTTGAATCCATTCATGCTAGATTTGGCCTAGCTTGATACAGTCCTTATGTAGGTGAAATCTCTTCGATCCATTTACATTGTTTGTTTGTTTTTTTTTTTTTACATTGATGTTTTTTTTTTTAAACAAAAGATGATTATATTCCAAAGATGAAAGAGGACACAACCAAGAAAAAAGAATGATTACACAACCATAACCAAAAAAGACAAGGTAGTCAGCCAAGCTCAGAAATTGACACAGATTCTTGCACCACCCAGGCACCCGACTTGGACTATCCAGAGGCGGAAACCAGCAAACACCCACCAAGAAGCAAATGAGAGAAGCATCAACATCCCAAACAAGGTCACCAAACAGAACAAGATAAAGCACCACCAGTGGTTGCCAACAAGCCTCGGCAGTCCGGGTGGTGAGCAAAAACTCACCACATCATTGTCCAAAAAGGCCATATCCAGATGGGAGAAAGACGACCCGTGGGAGGAGGAGAAGGAGCCACAGAACCATAAAAGGGAAACAAACATAACAAGAAAATCCATCAGAAACATCGGGCAACAGACCTCACAGAAAAAACAAAGAAGAAAAGAAAACCAAAATCATTTCCTTTTGGCTTTCCTTAGTTTATGATTACCAACTTTTTTGAACAAACTAGCCTCAACAATAATAATCACATTAAGGTCATAAATTCCCTTAGAATGCACCCCATACGCATCAATGTCTTCCTTGGCATCCCAAATAGGTGTAGAATCACAATCGTCCAGCCAGTCATCTTCAGCCATACCATCATCATTCTCATTAACAGCTAAATAAGAAAACAAAGCATTGTTCGTAATTAGAGATATAGGAACATCAACGAGAGGGGAAGGGCTACCAAAATTTGAAACATTTTGCATTTCACCATATGAAATAACATCATTGTTAAGAGGCAAAGCAGCCAAGTGAACCCTAACATTCACATTCTAAACCGGCAAGCTCAAGGCAGAAGAAACCAAAGGATCATCAACTTCACGGCCTACCAGCCCCAAAGAAGCAGAATTACATTCCACCACAACATCGTCATCACCTCCAGCATTAGGAGTTGGAGTAGCAACAAAGTTAACCAAGTAAAGGTTTGGGCTCACAACGACCATGACACCCTTTGTTGACACATGATTCAACGACAACATTACCCACTATTTTATAATTAACCTCATTAACACCACTGGAATCATCTACCACTATTAATTGGCGAGACAGGCATCGCTAAAGGGGCATCATCTAAATTTTTAACAACAGCAATAGCATTCCTACCAGAATCCTACCGATCAACAACTCCATCCACAACGACAACAAGATCATTAATACCACCAAAAGCATTCTTAATACCCCCTCAATCAACCCATCCTTAATAGATGAAACCAAAACAGTAGTATCATTACCGTTAGCATTCCCATCAAACAAAATAGGATTATAATTAGCATAGGAACATGCATAGGAGGAGAGAACTGGATGCAACATTCACCCCTAAGATGACCAAGACATTTGCAAGAACCACAAAATGAAGGAAATTCTTCCATCTAAACCAATTGAATATATCCTAAATTCTCATGTCCAAGCCAGATTTTGTCAGGGTACTTTTTGGTAATATCCATACCTGTTAACGGCGAATGGCGCACCATGGCGCAAAAGTCCATTTGGAGCCATGGCGCATAGCGCACGGCGCGGCGCGCGCTATTTTAAACACATGCGCCTCGCCATGAACATAGCGCCGTAGCTGCGCCGCGCCGGGCCGTGCGCCATGGTGCGCGCTATTTTGCGCCATTGACAGCTATGGTAATATCTAGTTCAACTAATACACATGCAAGAGAGGTTCTAGAGATGTGGCATTTTCAACTTTTTTAAGGGCTGACCAAACATAGAACCCAAAGCGTGTAGGATTCGATGAGAGAATAGATGGGGTCCTAAGTTGGGGAAGACAATCCAAATGGAATCATAGGTGATTCAATACTGATATCCAAAGAATGAGACCATTTAGTTAGTTTCATGAAGCAATTGTTCACAAAATAGGATATATTGCAAAATAGTTTGCTATAATCAAGACCATTCGTTAACTTAATCAATACAAGTGATGGATCAAAAACAGTAACATAGAAATCGGCGGTAAGCTTCAAATTGGAAAAAAAAACCCTACAAATGGAATCCAAAGTCGGTCAACAAGAAGGGAAAAATCCAACCAAAGCGTATTGAAATGGAACCGCAAGTGCCAAAATTTCTTTTTCCGAGATCCACAAGGAGGGTAAACCACAGAAAGAAGACTGTTGGAGCTCAGGGAAACGACCATTAGAATGGGAACCAGAAAGAGCATCAATGAGAGACCTCGATTTGATGGATTCATTCAAAAAAAGGGGATCGCAAACTCGCTTTACCGCCATTTTGGTCAAGAACGGTCGGAGGAGGAAGAAGCGAAGAAGCCAAACTGGAAAAAAAAAAAAATCACAACACAAATTAAGAAGAGGAAGAGAGCTTCCCTGAAATCACCAGAGGATGAATCGCCAGGAGGCAGGAGGGGAACCCTAGCAGAGCGGAGAGCCAAAAA